TTAATATTATTTTTTAGTTGTAGTTGGACACAATACCTTTATTTATTTATTTTTTGTGGTGCTGAGGATTGAACCCAGGGCCTCACATGTGCTAGGTGAGCACTCTACCGCTGAACCACAACCCCAGCCCCTAAGTTTTATTTTTCTACATATGGATATCCAGTTGTCCCAGCACTCTTTATTAAAAAGGCTGTCTTATCAACAATGTTTATTTGGCACCTTTGTCTCTTATCGGATAACTGTATTTATATGAATTTGTCTCTGTGTCTTCTATTTTCTTCCATTGGTCTTTATTTCTGTTTTGGTGCCAGTACCATGCTGTTTTTGTTACTATAGCTCTGTAGTATAATTTGAGGTCTGGTATTATGATGCCTCCAGCTTCACTCTTCTCACTAAGGATTGCTTTGGCTATTCTGGGTCTCTTGATTTTCCAAATGAATTTCAGCATTGTTTTTTCTAGTTTTATGAAAAATGTCATTGGTATTTTGATGGGAATTGCATTGAAACTGTATATCATTTTTGGTAGTATGACCATTTTAATAATATCAATTCTGACTATCCAAGAACATGTTCCATCTTCTAAGGTCTTCTTCAATTGCCTTCTGTAGGGTTCAATAGCTTTGTAGCGGTCCTTCACCTCTTTGTTAGATTGATTCCCAAGGGTTTTTGTTTGTTTGTTTTTGTTTTTGTTTTTGTTTTTTTAGATTATTGTGAATGGGAATTTTTCTTATTTTCTTTTTCAACAGATTTATTATTTGAGTATAGGAAAGTGATTGATTTATGAGTGTTGATCTTGTATCCTGCTACTTTACCAAGTTTGTTTATTAGCTCTAGAAGCCTTCTGGTGGAATTTTTTGGTTCTTCTAAATATAGGATCATGTCATCAGCAAACAGAGATAATTTGATTTCTTCATTTCCTATTTGTATCCTGTTAGTTTGCTTTTCTTGTTTTATTACTCTCACTAGAGTTGAAGACTATGTTGAATAGGAGTGATGAGAGTGGACATCCTTGTCCTGTTCCTCTTTTTAGAGGAAATGCTTTTGTTTTTTCTCTGTTCGGTATGATGTTGTCATATATAGCTTTTACAATGTTGAGGTATGTTCCTACTATCTGTACTTTCCCTAGTGTTTTAAACACGAATGGATGCTGTACTTCATCAAATGACCTATTGATATAATCATGTGATTCTCATCTTTAACTCTATTTATATGGTGAATTACATTTATTGATTTGTGCATGTTGAACAAAACTTGCATTCCTGGGATGAAACCCACTTGACCATGGTTCACTGTCTTTTTAATATGTTTTTGTATATAATTTGCCAGTATTTTATTAAGAATATTTGCATCTATGTTCATCAAGGGTAGTGGTTTGAAGTTTTCTTTCCTTGATGTGTTTTTGGTTTTGGTATCAGGATATACTGGATTCATAGAATGTACTTGCAAGTGTTCCCACTATTTCTATTTCTTGAAATAACTTGAGGAGGATAAGTGTTAGTTATTCTTTAAAGTTCTGGTGGAACTCAGCTGTGAATCCTTATGGTCCTAGGCTTTTCTTTTTTGGAAGCCTTTTGATAGCTGCTTTGATTTTATTACTTGATATTGACCTGTTTAAGTTGTCTAAATCCTCATGGTTAATATGGGTAGGTCATATGTCTCTAGAAGTTTTCAGAATCTTCAATATTTTCTAGCTAATTGGAGGATAGATTTTCAAAATAGTTTCTAATGATCCTCTGGATTTCAGTAGTGTCTATGGTGATAGTTCCTTTTATCTCTAATTTTGTTAATTTGGGATGGTGTGGTGGTACATACCTGTAATCCCAGCAAATGAGGAGGCTGAGTTAAGAGGATCACAAGTTCAAAGCCAGACTCAGCAACAAAGTGAGGTCCTAAGCAACTTAGTGAGACCCTGACTCAAAATAAAAAATAAAAAGGTCTGAGGATGTGGCTTAGTGGTAAAGGGCCTCTGGGTTCAATTCCCAGTACCCCCCCAAAAAAATTTGTTTTAAATTAATTTGTTTGGTTAGTTTGGCTAAGGGTTTATCTATTTTGTTTATCCTTTCAAAAATCAAACTCCTTGTTTCACTATGCCTTTGTATTGTTTCTTTTATTCTCAATTTCATTTATTTAGGCTCTTATTTTAATAATTTCCTGTCCTCTGCAGATATTTTGGTGTGTGTGTGTGGGGGGGTACCAGGGATTGAATTCAGGAGCACTCAACCACTGAGCCACATCCCCAGGTCTTTTTTGTATTTTATTTAGAGACAGGGTCTCACTGAGTTGTTTAGGGCCTCAGTAAATTGCTGAGGCTGGCTTTGAACTTGCGATCCTCTTGTCTCAGTCTCTCAAGCCACTGGGATTATAGGTGTGCGCCACAGCACCTGGCTCTTCTGCAGATTTTGGTTCTTCTTTTTCTTGGGCCTTGAAGTGTAATGTTAGATTATTTATTTGGTTATCTTTGGTATTTTTTTAAAGGTAAAAACTCTGGGCTATAAACTTTAGTCTTACAACTGCCTTCATACTATCTCAGAGATTTTGATATGTCATATCACTATTCACATTTATTTCTAAGCATTTTTAATTTCTCCCCTGATTTCTTCTGCTATCCATTTATCATTCAAAAGTGTATTATTTAATCTCCAAGTGTTAAAGTGGTTTTGGGTTTTTATCTTGCCATTGATTTCCAATTTTTCACTATTCACTGTGATATTAGTTATGTTTTTTCATAATTTCCATAATTGGGTTGAGGAAGTCCCTTTTTGGAGGGGGAGGGGTGGAGGGTGGATCAAACCCAGGGCTTTATACATGCTAAGTATATACTCTACCATTAAGCTGTACCCCTGGCCTCAGGAATTTCCTTTTATTCCTGCTTTGTTGACTGCTTTTATAGAAAAAAATTTGTTTCATTTAGTTAAATGTTTTTCTGTGTGTATTGAGGTGAATAGGTATTTTTTCCTTTATTCTATTATTATGGTATATTACATCGATTGCTTCTCAGATGCTAAACCAAGTTTGCATTCTTAGAATAAATACCATTTGGTCTGTGTCTATAATTCTTTTTTATATATTGCTGGATCTGGCTTGCTAGTATTTTTTTTTTTGAGGATTTCTGTTTCTTTATTGATGAGAGATATTAGTCTGTAGTTTTGTTTTCTAATGAGGACTCTGTCTCTTCTATTTTTTTAAGAGTTTTATGAAGAAGTAGAGCTAATTTCTCTTTAAATGCACAAGAGGACTTAAGATGTGGCTATAACCCAAGTAAGCACAAAATAATGAAGAAGAATGTCAGCTTTCAGGAGCTGAGAAGAATGGGGTAGTGATATTTCTGAGTATATCAAAACATGGGAGAACTGACAGGCTAGATTTCACTGGAGGAGAAAAGGAAGTTTGAACAAAAATACCGTCAAAGGTACTCCCTCCTGCTGCATCTTGTGGAAAGGCTCCAGATTGCAGAATGACCTCATTCCTCAAAAGAAATCCTCCAACTGGGCAAATATTTCCTTGCTCCTAGGCCAGTATGAGCTTGCTTAGAAGCGGTAGCTCTTTTGGCCTCCCCTGTGCTTTCTTGATCCATGGGTGTGTAACACAGACTCTGAACATCAATAATAGTGCTTCCCAGCACTGGTCTTGACATGCCCCAAGGTGTCTTCAGTTATTTCAGGGGTGTCTTGCAATTCTCAGAACTAATTGACTTTAAATTTATTTTCAAAAGGAGTTATATGCCATTTCAGATGTTCCTTTGTGCTAGATGTGACAGGGGAGGCAGAATGGGAAGATATGTGTCATGGAAGGAAAAGAAAGCAAGAAGTTACAGGTTTCAATTTACAAAAGACTGATTATCTGGAATCTGGGGTGTTTAGAAGTGTCGCTGTAATCTGGTAGAGCACTTACAGAGCCTACACAAGGCCCTGGGTTTGATCCCCCAACTGGGTGGGGTGGGGAGTCTCACTCTATTCTAATCACTGATTTATTCCAGTGTTTGAAAAAGGTCCTGGCACATCAGAATAGGTACTCAATAAATGTTGGTTAAATGAAAAACAACTGGATCAATGAATCTAAGCTTCTATGAGGCTTGAAGCCCTCATTTAGATTTGTTGTAGTTAAATTTGTTTGTGGTGTCTTACCCCTTCTCGTGTGTTTTGTTGTTGGTCTCAGTCTCTTTATAGGTCAGAATAAGCCACTGCACATTTGTCTTATACACCCCTTGAGTGTTTTCTGTCTAACTTCCAGGAGTTCTCCAAGAAAGCAGCTGATTATGGAGCCTCATGCTCCCTCAGTAGATTCTGTGAGCTGGACTCACCCACATTTGAGGTCATATGGCCCCCAGAAGGAACTACCGACCTCCTGACTGCCTACAGAGTTCAAAGAGCCATTTTTGAGTGGCCTGGCCATCCAGATCAAATCCCACGCATACAGATTTGGATCAAGATCCTCCTAGAGGGACCAAAGTGGTTGAGATCTTTTCTTTCAGGTAAAGCTAAGAAGGATAAAACTATTCTGCCAACAAAACCTTTTCTCCAGAAGAAACAGGTCTTGCTGGAGAGTTTCGAGGATCAGGACCTTGCCCCTCCATATCCATCCGCCCCACTGGTGTTACCTCCTCCTCCTCTACCGGAGGTTGCCTCTCTCTCTCCTGAGGCTGCCTCTTCTCATCCTCAGGGTGCCTCTTCCCCTCCTATGAGGCCCCCTCACACTTGAAGCGGTTCTAACTATCATCTTTCTGCCCCTGCTCTAACTGTGCCTGACTCCTCCACTTTGCTGGTTCCTACACTTCCCCTCAGAATTCAGGCTCCCTCTGCCCTGGGAACAGAAGGTGCTGGACAGAACCCCTTCAGGGTATATGTTCCTTTCTCCATTAGTGACCTCTATAAGTGGAAAATTCAAGATCCATCATTCTCTGAAATACCCCAAGGTCTTACTTCCCTTTTGGTGTCTATTTTCTATACCCACCAGCTAACCTGGGATGATTACCAGCAACTCCTTCAGACTCTTTTCACTTCAGAAGATCACGATTGAATCTGGAGAGAGGCCTGGAAAACTGTTCTTGGCCTTGATGGCCAACCCAGTGATGATTCAACTCACATGGAACTCATTTTCTCTTCGGTTCATCCCGATTGGACAGGAAAGGAGGCGACTGACCAATACTGCCAGGCTCCACTAGGAGAGATCAAAGCAGCCGCTGGAAAACCCACCGATTTGGCAAAGGTAAGCGAGTCAATTCAAGGACCAGATGAGCCCCCCGGCTGCTTTCCTGGAGCGCCTTCTTGAGACTTCTTGTATGCACTGATGGACCCAGAGGCCCCAGAGAATAAAAGCGCTCTTAATATTGCTTTTGTGACTCAATCGCCCCAGATATTAGGAGAAAGTTACAGAGACAGGAAAGATTTAAGGGAAAGACGCTGTCAAAATTTGTGGAACTAGCCCAAAGGGTCTACAATAGTAGAGACTCCCCTCAAGAAAAAAAAACAAACTAAAAGGTTGACAAGAGTCATGGTGACAGCTATGTCAGAGTCTCGAGACACCTGAAGGCCTCAAGTTCCTGGACAACAACCCCCAAGGGCTCTACTCCCTAAACAACAATAGCCCCTAGGAACAGAAACTAAAGGGCCAATATCTAATGAGAACTAACTTAAAAAAGGAACAATAACTCACTTGTTACTAGTGATGCCAAAATGCTCCTATCCCTTATTGGGCAGAAACTTGCTGCAAAAATTGCAAGCCACCATTTCTTTCCAAAAAGGCACAGCCAACCTGTCATTTAAAGGCCCAAAGCTATTATATATACTTGTCCCATTGGGGAGAAATACCTGCTCTTAGCAGAAGACACCCAGACCCCACCTTCTGACTTCCTCACAAGATTCCAAAAGAAACCCCAGGGGTCTGGGCAGAAACTAATCCTCCTGGCTTCACTGCACATCGGCCACCTATTATAGTGCAGCTCCCCAGCACTGCCACCCCTGTGCAAGTCCGACAGTATCTTATCAGATTGAAAGCTAGAAAACGGAATATTCACATCCACAGGTTATGAGCAGCTGGCATCCTGATTCCTTGCCAATCAGCCTGGAACACACCATTGCTGCCTGTCCAGAAACCTGGGACAAAAGACTACTGACTGGTACAGGACCTAAGAGAAGTCAACAAAAGAGAAACCATTCATCCCATGGTACCAAATCCCTACACACTTCTCAGTTCATTGTCTTCGTCTTACCAAGTGCACACTGTCCTGAACCTTACCAAGTGCACACTGTCCTGAACGTCAAAGATGCCTTCTTCAGTTTGCCATTGGCTAAGGTAAGCCAACCAATTTTTATTTCTATATGGTCAGATCCAGAAGGGAGATTTTCAGGACAATTGACTTGGACACAGTTGTCACAGGGATTTAAAAGCTCTCCAACTCTATTTGATGGATGTAACTGCTGCCATCAGTGTAGAGTGTCTTGTCTCATTCTGGCCAGGGTGTGTCCATCACACCAGGCCTCGTGGCTTACAGGCTGCAACACCCCAAGACTGCACTTTTACAATATGTAGATGATATAATAACAACCAAAACTATGACTAAATGTAAACAGGCCACCAGAGGCTTGTTAAAAACCTTAGAAACCTTGGGGTACCAGATGTCAACTAAGAAGGCCCAATTATGCACCTCAACAGTCACCTACTTGGGCTACAATCTAAAAAAGAAAAAAAGGACTGTGTTGTGGGACAGAATTAAGTCAATCATGCAGATTCCTCACCCTAAGATTAAGCATCAGGTGTGAGAGTTCCTCGGGGCCATTGGGTATTGCAGCCTTTGGATCCTTGATTTTGCTGAACTAGCCCAGCTCCTGTATGTTAGTAAGCGGGGAAAGAGGACTCTTTGATTTGGACTGAGAAAGAATAAGAGGCATTTGACAAACTGAAACAAGGCCTAGTCACTGCACCTGCATTGGCCCTCCCAGATATTCTAAAGCCATTCCAACTGTTTGTACATGAAGTCAGGGGAATAGCAAAAGGGGTGCTAACTCAGATTTTAGGGTCATGGAAATGCCTGGTGGCATATCTATCTAAAAGACTGGACTATGTTGTGGCTGGATGGCCAAACTGCCTCCAAGCCATCGGTGCCACAGCAATCCTGGATAAGGAAGCAGATAAGCTTACTTTAGAGCAAGATTTACAGGTGGTGGCCCCAAATGCTATGGAAAACTTACTTTGGAGCCCTCCAGGGTGCTGGCTCTCCAATGCTACTACCACCCAATACCAGGCCCTTTTTCTAGACCAGCCCAGAATAAAATTCTTAAAAACCTCGGCTTTAAACCCAGCCACTCTTCTTCCTGATGAAGATCCCTCCAAACTGCTACACAATTGCCAGGAAATCTTAGGGTCACTCCAGAATGACCAGCTGGAGCTGATGGACACACCCTGGCCAGACCCAGGCAAGACACTCTACACTGATGGCAGCAATTATGTCCAAAATGGAATCAGGTATGTGGGCGTGGCTATAGTTACTTTAGATAAAATTATCTGGGCTCAAGCTCTGGGACATGGAACTTCTGCACAAAAAGCAGAACTAATTGCACTTACCCAGGCTCTCAGGTATGGCAAAGGAAAGACTGTTAATATCTATACTGACAGTAGGTATGCCTTTGCTACTCTTCTTGTACATGGAGCTTTCTATAAGGAGAGAGGACTATTAACTTCGGGAGGAAAAGATATCAAACATGCAGAAGAAATTCTGGCTTTGTTAAAAGCCCTCTGATTGTCAGAGAAAGTGGCTGTTATACACTGCACAGGCCACCAGAACACAGAGACACCAGAGGCAAGAGGAAACACCTTTGCTGATAGAACAGCCAAAGAGATGGCTTTAAAACCTGTAGAGACTTTACAGATTTTGCCTGTGTTGCCTAACGGTGTTCTATCCACTTCCCCCATGTATATGGAACAAGAGAAAATTCTAGGAAAAATCTTAAAAACAACTGAGGATCAAAACGGATGGAAGATTCTACTGGACAAAAGAATCCTGAAGCCAAAGACATTGGGGAAATTGTTAATTAAGCAATTACATCAAGGAACTCATATGGGTAGTACAAAAATGGCTGAATTGTTACAAAAAGACTTTTACATTCCAAAGTTAACTCAATTAACAAGACAAGTTTCTTCCAGGTGCCAGACATGTGCTCAAGTAAATCCTAACCCAAAGGTAAGCCAATTTACAGGAACCAGACTACAAAGGGAAACACCAAAAAAAAAAAAAAAAACCATGAGAAGTAAACTTTACCGAAGTAAAATCTGGACAATAAGTATTTGCTGGTACTCATGGACACTTATTCTTGACAAATTGAGACATTTCCTACCAAAAACAAAGACAGCAACTATTGTAGCTAAGAAACTTATTCAAGAGATAGTTCCCAGATTTGGCATCCCAATAGCCATGGGGTCCCATAACAGCCCAGCTTTTATAGCTCAGATAACTCAAAATTTATCTAAAGTTTTTAAAATTAATTGAGACTTATATTATATATAGGTCTTCAAATTTAAAACAAATAAAAAAGATAATTAAAACTCTAAAAAAAGACCCTTACAGGTGGAGCCTAACAAGGACTGGGTCAACCTCCTTCCTTTTATTCACCCCTTATCTAAAAGGTTTATAATATTTAAAAGACCACCCCTGCTGGTTCCCAGACTGAAAGATAAAAAACTAACTAAAATAGGTAACCACTCACTTCTAAAGTCCTTACAGGCTCTCCAGCAAGCCTCCCAACAGACTCAGGCTTTAACAAAGATAGTCCAACAGCCTGTTGCAGGAGAGACCTTCACTCACCCATTCCAGCCAAGCCATTATCCATCTGCCTTAGAGCTTCACTGGCACAGACCCTTTCCAGTCATCCTGACCACCCCAACTACTATAAAAGTCACCAGAAAACAACATTGGATTCATCACTCCCAAATCAAGAAGACAGCTGCAACAGAAGATACACTCAGTACTCTTGATTTTTACTTTCTGTTTTGTTTCACTTTCAGACATACACCCTGCACACAGCTCTATTCGGAAACTCTTGAGGCCAGAAAAAGACAGGACGCTTGCTTCTAAAAGATAGTCACTGACTGAATGACTATCAAGCTGCTGGTCTTTAAAAAATAAAATTATGACATGGTAAACTTAGATAAAACTAAATAAATTAGTGATTTGATTTAGTCTCATAAAACCAGTGGGTGGTGTAAACTAAACAATAAGATCAGTAAGAGGGGCTGGGGATGTGGCTCAAGCAGTAGCGCGCTCGCCTGGCATGCACATGGCCCTGGGTTCGATCCTCAGCACCGCATACAAACAAAGATGTTGTGTCCGCCAAAAACCAAAAAATAAATACTAAAAAAATTCTCTCTTTAAAAAAAATCAGTAAGAGTATACATCATAGGTTATAGATTAACAAAAATATAGATTATCAATATAAGATTTTGATAAGTGAGATAAAACAATTATAAATCAAGAACTGTCATACACAGGCCCAAGACTCTATTTTGCTGCCTTCTATAAAAATAACAATTGCATGACCCATTTCTGAGAACCAGAAATGAAAGCTGTCTTCTTGTAAGAAATTGTTCTTCTGTACTTCGTACCCCACAGGATGTACTCAGCTCAGGATATGGTGGTGGTCGTGGTGAGCTACATCCTGGGTTTGAGTACATTTATGGGTCTACATGACTTTGAAATAGATTATCACCCCCGCTCAGCTGAAACTCAGGATAAGATTGTCTAAAACTTGCTTGGACCCGAGATACAGTTAGCTAAGTTGTAAGCTAACTTCTTTTCTTAGCTTCTGTAACTTGCTTGCTTGCATGACACTGAGAAAAGCCCCTGAGTTGTGGTCTTTGTCCTTAATTTCCCAAGACACAGGTCAGGAAATTGCTGTTTTCCCACAGAGCAGCAGTCTTTATGGGTGGGTGACAGTCCCCGGCCAGGTAATTAAAGCTCTCTTTTGTTTGAATTTGGACTTAGCATGTTTTCTGAGGTGGCTCCCCAGGACAATACCTCATGAACATAAGAGATTAGAATTCATGATTAATGACTAAGAGTTGACACTTCATATCTCTGGATTCAATCAACTATGGATTGAAAATATTTTTTAAAAATTGTGTTTATAGGGCTGGAGTTGTAGCTCAGTGGTAGAGAACTTGCCTAGCATGTGTGAGGCACTGGGTTCAATTCTCAGTACCACATATAAATAAGTAAATAAAATAAAGGTTTATCAACAACTAAAAAATATTAGGAAAAAAATTGCATTTATACTGAACATGTACAGACTTTTTTCCTTCTTATTATTCCCTAAGCAATACAGTATAACTATTTACCAACTTCATTTTAAGTGACATATTTAATAATTGACATTTTAATAATCATTGTAGATATTTATGGCCTACATTGTGACATTTCAATACATGTATACTATGTATACAATGTGTCACAATCCTATAAGCGTAATTGGCATGTCCATTACCTCAGACATGTATCTCTTCTTTGTGTTGGAATAGTTAAGACTCCTCTCTACTAGCTGCCCTCACCCCTGGCACTGGGGGTTGAACTCAGGGGTGCTCTACCTCTGAACAACAGCTCCAGTCATTTTTTTATTTTTTATTTTAAGTCTTGCCAAATTGCTCAGGCTGGCCTTTAACTTGTGATCCTCTGACCTCTGCCTCCAAGGTCACTGGGATTACAGGCTTGGACCACCATACTGGGCTCTATTAGCTTTTCTGGAATATATAGTTAATTATTGTCAACCATAATTATTCTACTGTACTTTAAATATTAGAAGAGTATAATAATTATTTTTCTATCATCTACTTTTTGTTAAGTATTATAGGTCATCTATAGGTGATTTAAAGGATACAGGAGAATGCAGGTAGGTCACATGAAAACACTATGCATTTTAAATAAGGAAATTCAGCATCATAGGATTTGATATTCCTGGGGGGTCTGAAACCAATTCCCCATAAATATGGGGGGAAGAATATATGTTTTAAAATGATCAAAGAGATAAAGTAAGGAACAGGGGTGTCATTCAGTGGTAGAGTGTGTGCTTAGCACACACAAGGCCTTAGGTTTGATACCCAATACCAAAGAAAGAGGGAGAATAAGCAAAGGAAATTGCAAGAAAAAATTCAGGTCCTATTTAAGAGAAAAAACATATTGATTTTAAAAGAACAAATGAGACTTTTAGAAATAAAATATACTTATTAAAATTAAATTTCACCAGGCATGGTGGCGCACACCTGTAATCCCAGTGGCTCAGGAGTCTGAGACAGGAGGATTGCAAGTTCAAAGCCAGCCTCAACAATTTAGTGAGACCCTATCTCAAAATCAAAAATAAAAAAGGGCTAGGATGTGTCTTAGTGGCTAAGTGCCCCTGGGTTCAATCCCCAGAACCAAAATAAATAAATAGATAAATAAATAAAGGTTAATGTATCACCTATAAAAACTTTAAAAAGAATTTGATATTATTTGGTAAAATTGAGAATGTTTATAACTTATCTCAAAAAAAGTTGTAAGTACAAAG